AGCAAGATGATCATAATATGTGTTTTTTAGCTTGTATATATCATATTATGGTGCATCCGACACTGTATTTTTACACAAAGCGAGTACAAACTAGAGCACATTCCACGGAATCTAGATGATTATGTTGAATTTGGCACCATAAGGGTGGATGTGTAAGAAAAAAATCATAGTTAAGGGGGTCAATGTAATTATCCAAACAAGAGGGTTTTTTTCGTAAATTGACCATACCTCGGGGGTGTTTGTAATTTACCCTTTTTTTCTTCTTCGGGGGTCAACAACGCCTTGCAAGTACCGCCAGTGCACTTCACACACACACACACACACACACACACACATATATATATATATATATATGGTCAAAATTACGAAAACCTCCTCCTATTTGAGTAATTACAGCCACATCTCAACTATGCATTATCTTACGAAAATACCCCTCTAGAGGTAACTTTAGGGATGTGAAATCGGTAAAACCAAACCAACATTTCATACTGTTCACCGAACTGAATATACGATTTAGTTCGGTAATATCCGAATTACATAAATTTTATGTAAAAATATTTGAAAGGAGGGGTGGTTGTAATTACCCAAACAAGAGGGTTTTTTTTTCGTAATTTGGCCATAACTCAAGGGGGCCGTAATTTGCCCATATATATATATATATATATAACACCAGTACTAAATTATTGATATATGTACAATGTGTTACTGAATCCAAAACGAATCCTCATAATAGTAATTTCATACTTGGTTTTACCTGAATTGGTGCTCGACTATCACTCCTTGTAGCTGCTCATGATTTTAATATTGGAAAATAAATCAATAAGCTTCGTCCATAGAATTCAACTTATATATCCCTAGATTCTACTTCAACAGAGCCATTTGTAATTGTTGATGAACTTCTTTTTTCTTCTAAATTTTTATCAGAAATGAACTTGAGTTGCATAACAATCATTCAATCTACTTTCCCAAACTTGAGTTTTCCTGTTCCATTGAAATAATGCAAGCAAGTCTGTCGTACACCTGCAATCATGTTAAAAGCTCGAATAAAAATAAATGATATGTAATTACGATTAGCCAAAAGGATAATAGCAAAAAGGGTACATATTCTAAAACTCGGTAGAATCAATCAAGGACCAAAATACCTTAGAAAGCTTGTTTTCTTCCTTGGTTGTGGATAAAGGATCGTACCTAGAATAATACATTACAACATATGTTAGTTTTCATATAAGTTTGACTGTCAAAGCTTATTATCATACCATTCCTTTGGGATACCAGCTTCTTGTCGAGCTGAATGGTTGAAAGGACCTTTCACCTCTACATTATACTCTTGTAGAATCTCTGTCAAATAAGGAACGGAAATTTCGATAAGATTGTTTTATATTATTTGGTAAAGAGAATTAATTAATTAATAAATTAATTGCCTGTGAAAGTAGAAGCAGGGGCACGCCCCATTTTCTGGCAAACAGAAACAAACCAATAAACACCAACAGCCACGTGTGCAACTTCTTCATCGGCTATCTTTGCTACAATGTTTGATGTCCTGTGATCTCCGAATCCCATCAACTTATTCACAAGTCTAGGTCCAGCATCCAATCCTCTAGCCTCCTACATCAATTTATTCAGTAATTACTAAACAAAGCTAAATGCAAAACCCATCGGAGAATAAGCATTTACTTAAAAGTCAAACGCGATTTAGCAAATGTCGAGACATGGATACTAAGGAAATAATCTTATTAGTGAGAACTGAGAATTGCTAAATACTAAATAGTCATATTTTCTACCACATTATTGCAACAAGAAAACTACAATCAAGGCATGAGGGCATCTTGTCAAAGTTCCCGGGGAGATATGTATATATTATTCTTCGAATCATTGTCATCAAAAAACTAACTTGTTCTTATAAAAAGATTGAAAAAGGAGCACCTGAACCAATGGGATGACTGCAAGACGAGCAGCAACGTCATCTGACGATTTCTCACACTCCCTCCATAAAAAACTATGAGCCGCCATGTCACCATAGCTACTCATGGAATGGCCTGTGAGTCAGTACCAGCTGGTTGGATAATAACCAAATTACTAAATTGCCCATCTACCTGAATCCGAGCTCAGCCAGTCTCTGTGTACACCAAGTGAAGTGCCGACTTTCATCATCAGCTACATGAGCAAAATCAGCAAAAAAACCTTCACCGAGAAGATCAATGTATGGCGAAAATCGAACAATTGTATCCCACGCAAGATCAATAGCATTTAGCTCAACATGTGCGAGATTATGAAGCATATATGCATTCAGAGGCAAACCCGAGCTCTTTGGTGGTGGAATTTCTTTAGGCGAAACCTGAACAAACTTAATGCCATGAGGGGATGACAGAAACCAAAATAACAACTAAAAAAGCAATCAGTAATCATAATTCAAAAAGCCTTTATTGGAAATATTAATATTATATGATGCATTTAACTAACAGCTTGAGCTTTTGGTTAAGGTATTCAACATGGTATCAAAGTCACCCAAATGAAAGGTCCTGAGTTCAAATCCCACCGCCACCGATTTCAAATATTTCAAGTGCAAGGCTTCAAATGTAAATATTAATATTAAATGATACATTTCACAGCTTCTATGAATTCGGAAATATTAAATTGATGAAAATTCGATATTTTGTCCTAGAGAAAAACGAGATGTAGTGCACAAAATTAGGGCTCGTTCGGTTACCGCTATAAGGTTCTACTGACTGACTAAATAGTATGGGCTAATAACATGTCCGGTTGACAAGATTCACACTTTTTCAAATCCGCTACTAAAATCAAAGTCCGCTATTAAATGCTACTATTACATTAAATTAGTAGCACCCCTCCCCCAGAGATTAATTTAATAGGGGTGATTAAAAATGAAAAAGACAATTGTATCCTTAAAGTCATATCGTATTATTTTAAACTAAGTGGTTTTATAGACAATTCATATATAATAACTGAATTTAACAAATTTAATAGAAGATCTAATCTAAGAAACCGAACATGCTACTAACTAAATAATTAATTAGCGAGTAGAGAGTTAATCGAATCTCATCTAATCCAATCTAATCCAATATAGGTACCCGAACGAGCCCTAAATTAATTGTATCCTAAAGGGGGAAAAAACAGAGAAAAATGAATTTGAATTATACCAATTGGGGTTTGGGAGGACGAGCAGGGCGAGAAGGAGGGTGAGAAACACCAACGGGGAGATCTCCAAGGCGCCATTTGGTATAGGCCGAGTGTGTAAGCTTGGCTTTTGTGAGGGGATCCGAAGAGGAGAGAACAACACCGCCCATTTCTGCCAATGAAGAGCAAGAGCTCAACGATGGCGGAGAAGAAGTTGTTGGTCTGACTTCAATTTCAATTGGGCCATTTGGACCCCAATACCGGTCGCGGTTGAGTGGGCTGCGCCGCCAGAGGTCGAGGCCGGACCACTGAGGGTGGTGATCAAGTGGTGGGTATTCGACCGAAGCTGCAGAAGACAAGCGCGGCGGCGAGGAGGGGTAGCTGCTGAATCTGTATGTGGCTGTGGAGAGCATTGCTCTGAATTTGAGTTGCTGCATTGCTTCCTTTTTTCATAAATATATATGGTTTTGTAATCCCTTCGGCCTTTATTAAAGCCAAAATGAGTTTTTTAATCCCGAGATTTTGTTCACCTCATTTTAAAATTAATATTTTAGTCTCCTAAGTTACAAAATTTGAGAATGTTGGTCCTATGTCAATGCCATGTGATTCAATGGTTGGTTGAATTTTTCATTTTTTTATTTTAGGTTGAAACAGAATAAGTTGGCATTTACTTTTAAAAAATAAATTACTTAAAAATAATAAAATCAACATTTTTGCCCTACAAATTACAAAATTTGAGAATGTTAGTCGATACTGCTATTATATTGTGGTCAATAGTAAAATAGCGTGTCAACGTAGTAACATTATTGGAAAGAGAGAGGAAAAAAATATTAATAAGATGATATTATTGTGAAATAAGTTAATGTTAAATTTTATGTTTTTTGTGAAATTTAATGTTTAATGTGAAAATTAATGTTAATGCACTAAAAATTAATGTTCATGAAAAAAAAAGAATTTTAAAAACAATTATGTTATTGTTGTTAGGAAACCAAATTCCTAAAGCGTGTCATTGATAAATTCGAGTTATAAGAAGAATTATATTTATTTTAATTACAAATAGTATCTTGTTTTTAACTACCAAATAATTCATGCACTCATATCCATATTCTTAAATATTACATTCGAGCTCCGATTGATCATTACTTAGATTCTACCTATATTAAGATACGATCAAATAATTTATTCACTACTAAATTAATGAAATAATTTATTCACAATCAACTTGGCCAGGGCTTAGCATAGACAAAACGCATAAGTTACTCAAAGGTTTTTTATCAATAGCATATTTCAGAGATGCAGATTGATTTTGATAATTAATTTTGCTTTATTAATACGTAGGTTCTGATTGGTTTAAGGAAAATGATAAGTAAAAATGTGAAATTATTAGGTCAATAGATTTTCATGTTTGGCTGCAAGCTAAAGTGCTAGGTAACGTAATCAAGAGGAAATAGTGGAAAAAAGATTACACTAAAACTAGGAAAATATATTTTTCCTAAAAAAAATGAAAAAAAATGTCATGTAATTCTCCTCTTCTCTCTCCATTTTTTCCTCTTCTCTCTCCTCTCTAGAAAGCATCGCTTCTCTCTCTTCTCTCTCTCGCTCTTTTCCTCTCCTCTCTCCTCTCTCGTATGTCTACTTTTATTCTATCTTTCTCTTCTCTCTCACACACATTATAATAATAAATTATTAAATTAATAGGGGTTATTAACAGTAGCCTCTCATAGCTAAGAAATGGTGATATGTCTACTCCTTCAATCTTTCTTTGTGATAACCCCTCGAAATTTTATTCCCAATACTACCCTTGTGTTAATTAGCTAATTCCTAAAAATCTGCTACCAAATAAATAAATAAAAATTATTTTTTAATTTTTTTTATATCATTTTCGGACTTTATTTAGCATTTTTTTTTATTGTTTTTATTTTTTATTTTTTTAATATTTTTTTAATAAAAATATTTTTGTAGTTTTTTTTTTTCAAACAAAAAAATGAATTTTTTTATTCTCGACAGGTTTACTACGCCGAATGTGACTATAATTGAATATGGCTATAGTCTAATATGACCATATCAACTGTAGTCATATTCTTGCTTTATATTGCAGTTTTTACATTTCAAGTTAAAAATTCCGATTATATAGTGTAGTATAGTCATGTTTACCTAATTATATAAAACAAATGAAGATTGTCTATTATTTATGAATACAATCCAATCAACATCCACACAAAAAATCACAATTTGAATCTTGTTGTTATAAGTCAACTTGAAACGAGAATATAGAACATATTCGAATATAACTACATTCATATTCAACGATAGTCATATTCGAAGATAAGTATAGTCATGTTAATGTTGCTACTCAAATCTCAAATTGTGTGTTCAGATTTGCAGAAAAAAAAAAAGGAGAGAGAGAGAGAAATCGAAACAGACAAAAAAAATTGGATTGCAAGCTGCTCCATTTTCATTAGTACATTTATGATGATGATCACCTTAAGTAGTTGAGTTATAAGGAGGTGGGAGAGCAAAGTGGATCACTGGTCAAGCGCTAGATGGTCCTGAGATATCTGCGAACAGAGAACACGTGAACTAGGCCAGGGGTTGATAGAGTGTAACACCTCGCGTCTCCTATAATTTAATTTCCCATTAGTTAACATATATTTAATTAGCATTATTTTATCTCTTGTGTGCGTTTATTAGTTTAATATTTTATTTATGTGATAGAATGCATTAGTCTGAAATAATTTTGGACGAATTTAAATTTATCATATTAGTTAATTATTATATCTAGAGATTAATCATACTCGTTTGTTTTGCTAGAACTCATTTATTAGGAGAATTTTAAATCACATATTTGCTTATTAGTTGAAATTAATATCTTTTTTTTTGAATAATATTATTTGAAGAAAAGTGGAAAATTCTTCTTATTCATCCCTCAATTTTGACCATGGTACAACACAAGACCAAAAAATTTCCTTAAGTACAACCCTTCTCTAAGTGAGCTCATGTGCATTAAGATTTTCCTTTTTGAAATTCTTTTTGCAGAGTTAAATGAAATTGCAAAGAAGTCCCTCTAGATAATTCCTAAGTTTGCCTAAATTGCAAAAAGGCCACTCCCCCATTCTTAATCATTAAGCATGCAAGTCCTCTACAACTCTATAAATAGAACCCAAGTCTTCATCTATTTTCTCATTTTCTCTACATATTCTAAAGATCAAAAATCAAAATCTCTTTCTCCTCTTCTCCCAATTTTCGAAATTAGTGTGTAGGAAAGCCCTAAAATCTCTCTTTCAAGAGTAAAATTCTTGGCCAAAAGAGTAAGTCTACTTCCTCTTCTTTCTTTTCTTCATTTTCAAGAAGCTATGCTTCTTCTTCCTCTTTCTCGAAAATTTCTTCTTCTTCTCTTTGTAGAAAGGAAAAAACACCCTTTCAAATTTTACTAGAAGATTAATGTGAGAATTTTCGAATTCTTGCTACAAGTGCTTCAACACCAATAGTATTTTTCTTCTCTTTAATTTCTTGTTAATGTTCTTGTGATGACCGAAAACAAAAGGAGGAAGAAAATAAATTTTTGTGTTTAATTTATGCTTTGATCATCCATGCATGTAAATATTTAAGCTTTATATTAAATAATCTTGAAGAAGTAAGAATAAAATTCTGATTTAATTTTTATGTGTGTATATATATATATATATATATATATATATATACTAGACCTACGTGATTTTAAGGAAACTTCGATCCATGATTTTCGTAAATCTGCGTGGTCAAAGAAAATACTTGATCCATGGTTTATTTATAGGGGCTATATCTATATGACAAACACCCCTCATCCATTTTTTACTTAAAGATAAATCCACTTCTATTACTCCCTCCTTCCCACTTTAATTGACGTTTAAGGATTTTTCACACAGATTAAGAATCTCATTAATTAGTCTTTAATTTGAGAATAAAGTTCAAAATTGCCCTTTCTCTCTAACTAATTACTGCTAGATTATCTCAATACATTTTACCATTTGATTTTGCCGAGAATGTTAACAAACAAATCACATTAACAAAGACTCTTCATTATTCAAGAAAAATAAAAAAAGAAAAACAAATCATAGCCACTTAATTAGAATATCTATGACAGTATGTGAAGAATGGAGTATTCCACTTCAACTAGAAATTAAATTGACAGGAGCTGATTTGAAAATTTCAATCCCCGCTACAATTAAGACATAAATTTTAACCACTAAGAAATCAGGTTGGAATTTTTCAAAATCCTAGTTTGAATTTGAAAATTAAAAATTTCGATCATTCAAGATTAATATCATCCACTTCACCCTTCAATATTAAAGTAAAATGAGAGTTTTTGTTGAACTAAATCAAAATAAAGAAATATCACAGTGTGACGTAAATAATAAAAGCATGAGACAAGACAAATAATTTGTTTTGCCGGACCTCAATGCTGTTGCTGCAGATTTTGTTGACGACCCCAATGTTGATCTAAATTCTCCAGAGAATGCAATATTTTCAGTGGATCGTTCATTGCTAGATTTAAACAGGGAATCATTCATGGAACATGACATATCATTGGAGATGGGATTACAAACTTTCATGGATGATAACTTAGAAGATGTCTTCAATATAGGTACTTGTCCTTTACGTATTCTTCATGAAAAGTATTCATTATTTGCTCATATTTTTTTTTGGTTCTGTCTTGCGTCTTTCCACTTTGTAAAAGATGAAAATGCAAACGAAGAATCTTTCCAGATACCAAGTGCTACAAGGAAAGTGAAACATTTAAACAATACAGAACGTAGAGCTATATACAATGTGTTGCAACATAAAAGTATCAACGAAAGTTTGAAGAAAGGAGTAACAAATATAGTGGCGTCACAATTTTCAGTTTCGATCCGAACTGTTCAACGTATTTGGAGACAATCAGGAAAAGGTGGACATGATGTTGTATCGCATAAAAAGACAAGAAATTGTGGTCGAAAGAGAATTGAAATAAACATGGACCAATTTCGTGGGATTCCTCCGCATCGGCGGACAACTTTGGAGTCTTTAGCTTGTTCTTTGAACATGGCGAAAAACACATTATTTAGACGTTTAAAGTCACGAGAGTTACAACGACATTCGAATGCTATAAAACCGTTTCTAACGGAGGAAAACAAAAGATCTCGACTACAATTTTGTTTGTCAATGCTTGAGGGTGATAGCATACACCATGATCCAATTTTTCGTGGAATGTTTAACATCATTCATATCGATGAAAAGTAGTTCCAATTAACAAAAAAAATCAAAGCATTACTATTTGTTTCCCGAGGAAGAAGACCCGATACGTACTTGTAAAAGTAAAAATTTCATTGGCAAGGTTATGTTTTTAGTTGCTATTGCTCGTCCAAGGTTTGATGAAGAAGGAAATGAGATTTTCTCGGGAAAAATAGGCGTGTTTCCTCTTGTAACACGAGAG